TCACCCTCGGTGTCACCTTATTTGGTGACATATGTGTTGCCGTCAAGGCGACGAAAACGTCACCAAATTAAGTGACACCGAGGGTGACAAATTTTATGCTCTCAATTGGAACTGTCATGGCGACATGTCTGTTTCCATAATTATGGTCACATCTCGGATGTCGCCAAAGTTTGGCGACAAAAAAGGGAAGTCGCCAAAATAAATGTGTCACCGAATTTTGGTCACACGTGTCGCCATAAAGATTACAGTGAACAGTTGCGTACTACGTTGGATACGCTCTCTGGCAGGAGGTTCGAAGGAGGAGGCAGGGTGAGGTGAGGAAGGGTGCACGCGGGAGGGGTACCCTTGCGTACGATTGGATCTGCCGGAAGTGTGTATGTGCGGAACGCTTTCTTGCCACAAGGTCAGCCGAAGGGGAGCTCGCGGCTCGCGGAGAGCGTTCGGTATGCGCGCGTTTGCCATAGAGGTTCGCTCACACGAGCTCGCACACATGAACGTACACATTCTCACGCTATAACCGATAATCACCTCCGCAGCCGAGCCGACTACAAGATTGCAAATAAGTCTAAATGTATCGCTGCGATACCCCGCAATTATGCCTTGGCAGGGAGACATCAACGCACGAGGCGTACGAGAAGTCGACTTCACTGAAAATCTCGAGCTAAGTAGCAGCATCCCCCTTCGGGAGGGGGGGTGGGGGGGTTAGAGAGCTCGCTTCGTCTTTCTTCCTGGCCCGCCGATATCAGATGCAGTTCCCCCCAAAATTTGGTGCTTTGTCTATTTACCCTCCTACGCCTACACATTTCGAGCACGGTATGATGGGCAGGTCGGGACTGGAAGTCGCAACATTTGCGAACTCTCTAAAGACAAAAGAGCCAAAAGGTATGGGTGGTGGTGGCTGGTGGCCGTAGTCCCGTGAATAATCAGTCGGCAGAGCAGAAGCAAAGCCGAAGGGGTCGCATCCGGGCGGGCGTCGTCATCGGGTAGAGAAAGCAGCTGTGTCGGGCCGCAGCCGCCGCGGAGGTAGGCAACCCAACGTGCGCGACAACGGAGCCAGTGGCCCATCTACAGGCGGCGGGCGGGCACCGGTGGCGGCGGGCGCCGGGTCACTGATCCCGGTGGTGACTGAATCCTACCAGTCTGTTACACCAGCGCGCCGGTTACTTCGTCCACTACGCCGGCGGCGATGCGGTGTTTTGAAAGAGGCGAAAGAAAGGGAAATGGGCGAGAGTTTTGCTGTTTTGTTGGACTCACCTTTCAGGAAAGAGGTGAGATGACTTCCCCGGAGGCGGAGCAGGCGGCAACCAAGGACAGCAGTACCACGCATACTAACACACATAACACCCATACTCTCTCCCCAGTGGGTCGAGTTCGGGTTACACTATACGCACAACACTTCACTGTTCACTTTGGTTCACTAGCACGTCTCTGTGTCTCTGCTCCGGGAGGACCCAGGTTGATGAGTTTTTTTGTTGATTTTTTGGAATATGAATATGTACAAATGCCTCCCCCGCACGGCTTCAGTCGGACGTCGGGCCGACGTCACTCCGACACCGACTCCACTGTAACGGCAAGAAAGAGTGATACAGAATAAGGGGCCAAATCGCGAAACCAGTAGATTGCGGAGGAATTTCTGTACCGACCTGCGAGCTGGATGGCAAACATGGCCGCGAAGCCCGCGGTGACCGCCATCAGCTGCCGGATGCCGGCGTGCCGAGAGGCGCGCTGCGGCTCCAGCACCTCGAAGAACACGACGTACAGCAGCGTCCCCGCGGCCACACCCTGCATCAGGGTGGCCGTCGCTCCGGCCGCCGCGCCCTCGCTGCGTGACGCAAAGAAATCCAAAAGTATCGCGATGAGTTATCCAACTCTTTTGCGGTCGGCAACAAACTCAACGCAACTCGACCGCCGATCTTACCTGGCCGTGGCCGCCATGCCGAGCGCGATCCCCAGGGCGCTCATGAAGGAGAAGGCGCCGACGTAGGCGCAGACGAAGGCCGCCCTGCTGCCCATGCCGACGAGCTGCACGCCGACGCAGAACGAGATGACGAACTTGTGCGAGGCGACGGCGACGAACAGCGCCCAGACGCGGGCCGGGGAGCGCTCCAGCCCGACGGCCAGCCCCTCGAGCAGCTCGTGCACCGAGAGGCCCAGCACGACCAGCAGCCCGCGCGCCGCCGTGCCCAGCTGCGCCTTGCCGTTGCTGTCCACCGCGCCGACGGGGACGTGGCTGTGGCCGTGCCCGCCGTGATGGTGACCTGCAAGCATTTTCCGAAAATGTTAGGATTTCGAAAAGTCCACAACGAGGAGCTACTCACTAAAAAAATCAGTGTAAATTCCGAAAAATAGAAGAGAGTCGTAAAAAGAAAACAAGAAAAAACAGACAATTCGATAGTGAAGTAACCATCGGTCGAAACACCATCGCTTTCTTCCCGACTTGACGACTCACCCGCCTCCGGCTCCTCGCTATCGTGCGCCTGGTTGTGCAGGTGCCGGTGCACCAGCTCCTCGACGAGGTACAGGGCGAGGAAGCCGGCCACGAGCAGCAGCTCGGCGGCGGGCACGCGCGTCTCGGGCAGCACGCCGGCCCGCTGCAGCACGTGCAGCTGCAGCCGCACCTCGGGCAGCAGCTGCACCAGCGTCGTGCACAGCAGCACGCCGCCGCCGCCGCACAGCAGCAGCGACAGCGTGGCGCTGTCGGTGGGCGGCGCGGACGTCGGCTCGTCCTCGGTGCTCTTGACGGCCTGCTCGCCGCTCTCCGTCGACCAGCGCAGCCAGCGGGCCAGCTTGATGGGCAGCAGCCCGACCAGCATGGACGCGACGCCCAGCACCACCATGGCCGTCACCTTGGCGATGAGCAGCGGCGTGCCGGAGCCGCCCAGGACGTCGGCGGGCACCTCCAGGACGCCCTGCTGGGACAGCTCGGTCCCGTTCGATGCCATGGCGATGGTGATTACCTGCGAACATTGAAAAGTTTTCGTTGAGGAGGCCGCCGCCGTTTGTTGGGGGGGTGGGGGGAGTCACGTCTGATTTGGCAGCCCGAATGAATTATGGCTCTCGCCGTCTGGCTTTGCTCCCGCGGGGTCATGGGGTGCTAATGGGTCTGAGGCGCAGCTCCCCGGGGGGCCGGAGCCATGGGCACAGCCGCGGGCACAGCCATGGGCGGCGGGCTAGCCAAGCGGCACGCCAATCAAGCCAAAACAAAGCCGTGGACCATGTCGCGCTTCCAGAAAAGAAGAGACCCTGACCGGGCGGGAAGCGACGACGCCTGCCTGGCCGACATCCGGTCACTACTTCCATAGTCTTTTAGTCATTTCATGGAGAATGTAAAAGAACAATTGGAAACTCTGGGAGGGAAATTGGGTAAAGAGAACCAGCAAAAGTAGGAAAGGCTCAAGTATCATACTGTCACTCGGCATCTATTAAATATACCCTAGCACAATGGTCAATGGTTACTCCTGCCGCAGCGCGGAGCCTTGAGTGGGTGGGACTGTAACTCGCCGGAGGTGGTAGTTAAGGCAGCGTTCTAAACGGGTGCGGCCAGTCGGTAAAGCAGAGCTGGTGAGTCGTCTCCAGGGCGCCCCCTGCCCTCCTGTCCAGCTCGCGCACGCGTAGGTCAGGCGGTCGGTGGTGAGAGGCGCGAGGATGCGTCCGCGCGACCTTGCACCAGCCCACGCGCCCGCGGCCCCCCGCGCGTGCACCCGCAGGTGAACACCAAGTACTCCAACTAAAGGGGGAGTAAGAGGATCTGGTGCCCAATAATTTTACGCCTCTCCATGGTTATCAGTAGAGATGGGGTGGGGGAAAAGGGGAATTATAGACCATGTAAAATGTGGGGAGAGAATGTACATCGAGAATACATAGACAGGAATCACAATAGGGGAATTCGTGGGAGGGTAGGGTGTGAAACGAGGGGAGGGGCGGTAGTTGGGAAGGGAGGGGCTGATTGGTGTCCGTGGCGTGAGAAAACGGCAATCACCGGCATAATAGCGATTAGACGAGCTCGCCGCTGCGACGTGATCGTGATACGTATGGCGACTCGGCCGAGCCCCCCGTTTTATGCCATTTATGTCATTTTATTGGAGTCATGGTTGCTACAAAATTTTCATTGCCATTTTCCCTGAGTTTTCCCTGATTTCCAGACCATTTCTCCCCGAATTTCCCTGAGTTTTAAGCACCGTTCCTGGTGAAGTACTGGGGCAAACTTATACCCCTAACTGTAATACAAGACCGCGAGCGAAGCAAACGCGAAAACTTTTGGGACAAAACACCCTCCTGGGACGTCAAAATGTGTATTTGACCTAAACGGCAAATAGACTGCAGTTTGGGGACCTGTCAGACCAAATTTCCCTGACTTTTTTTCATTTTCCCTGAGTTTTCCCTGATTTCCCTGACAGTTTTTTATTTCCCTGAGTTTTCCAGGTTTTCAAGGTTTTCCAGAGTTGTGGCAACCATGTGGAGTGCTTCCTGGCTGCTGGTGCGGCTGGCGCGCATTCCTACGTCTACCGGCCACCGGCGAACGGCTTTGCAGAACCTAACCCCCCAAAAAGGAACCCTCCCACGATAAATTGTAGGACTCAACGATGGTGAGGAAGCTGCTCGATACGAGGAAGAAGATAGGGCTAGGATGTGACGTGCCGTGTATCCCAGTCCCTGAACAAAGCAGAAGATTAGCAACAAGAGGTTAGGTTGCATGTCGTTAGATTTCAAACAGTTTAGAACAGGTGTATGCATCTAGCTCCTTGGTAACACCTTTACCAAAGTTTATTACGACAGTCATGTCATTCACATTGAGTTAAAATTATACCAATGCAACATGTGCGTGTACTAACCTAGACAACGACACCGGGATGGTTTAGAGGAATGCGTAAACTTACTTTTCCGAAGCCAAACTTTTCAGAACCACTTATTGACACAAAATTGCTACTCCGACATAAGCTAGACCCAATTTGCTTTTAAGAATTGTACAAAACTCGGTTTATGATCATACATCCACTCGCGGCAAAGCACAGTACGGTCGCCTGCGCTTTACTTTGTTTAGCGACTGCGCAACGCCACGCCATCTCTTCACTTCAGCGCACGACCAACTTGATCAGTCAGCAGCAGAGCTGTCTGACACGACCTGCGCAAAACGCATACTGGACCCGTGTCGCCGGGAGGCTCCCGTGCCTCGTCAGCCCAAAAAGGCGACGTCTGCGGCGCCATCTCTTGGCCTGCGGGGAAGTGCAAATTGAATGAACTTCCGTGACACTGCCCATAGACAGCACTAGTGCTCTCCCCTATCGTATCCGCGTGACTGTATAGGTCTTCTCCACTAATTAGGACATTGTTCATCAATGCTCTAATGACAATTCATGAAAACTGACTGGATAGGCGTGTGCAGTTTTAGAAATATTTCGAACACAATTCGGGCCTCATCATACAATTCTTAGAATTTCACCTTATCTCTTAGCCAACAGTCTCCCGAGGTAGTTCCAGTCCCCGCCGAGAGCGCGACAAACGTCGCCGTGCTGAGGACAGGTACGGCTTTGCCCGGGCTCACAATCCGGTCGGCAGAAGTGCGTTTTGCGTAGGTCGTGTCAGACAGCTCTGCCCGGCTCTGCCGCTGACTGATCAAGTTGGTCGTGCTTCAGCGCTACCTTCTTCTCGTTCCTCTCCTTGAGCAGCTTCATCATATGGTGCTTTACCCCTTTTCAATTCCCCAAAAAAGGGGGGGGGGGTAGCGCTCCACGGGGTGTATTGTAAAATTGAAATAAACAAATAACAAGCAGGCCCGCCCTTCCGCCAAACGAAGTTGCCAGCTCCGCTTCGCTCCGCCGGCAACTCCGTTCGGCAGGGGCCGGGCCTGCTTGACCTGCCGACGGCGAAGATCGGGCCTGCGGCCCGACCATTTCTGTCACGCGATTTGCTGAAGAACATGGTCGAATGATGAAGCGGGCCTTCGGACCGCTTAAACCCGTCGTCTTTGAGTTTGCCCCAAAGACTC